GTATGATGCAGTCCCACAGACATGATTTAGGTATTAACTTAAAACTCTCAGGCACTCTTCAGGTTCTTTCCCTGCTAAACTATTAAATTATGCAATCAATTTCTGCCTTGGAAAAGTACCCAATTGTAAAGTGTTTAGGTGTATGAAAACCAGGTCCATGAAATTACACTGTGACAATTTACAGGAACATAATGATTTTACTGAATCTGCCCAGCTCTGTGTACTACAGGTGACCCCCAAAGGAGTAATTCTGAAGCCATGCCCAGAGCTGTTTGGGTATGGTCAAAAAGGCTGTCTGAAAACTGGCAAGAGGAAGGGAAATGAATTGGTGGGTTATTATTCGCAAGAGGAGAATTTCAGGAACACATACAGGTGACAAGATTGTCATATACAGCAGACTGAATCTGTGCTCTTCACCTGTCTTTAAGTGTCCAGTAAGACAGACCACCTTTAAAATCAATAAAAACTGAGAAATTTCCTTCGGTGTTAGTAAGAATTCAGTTACTTTGACCTCATTTTAGAGTCCTGTCAGTTCTCAAGAGATTCATAACTCCTGTCCTAACCTCCTACAGGAATTTTATTCTCTGTCACTTTCAAAACTTTTCTATCCAAAATCATCTATCATGCATTGAACAAAATAAGCATTAGCTGCTACACAGTTCTGGATTAGGAAAACTGAAAAAAATATATCACATATAAAATAATATACACATATGTACTGAAATATATAAACATCTGAAATATATTTCAAAAGTTCAAAAATAAAGGAATCATTGCTCTGTGTTTCTGTGTAGTTAGGTGAACAATGAAGAGGTACTATGTTACACATTGTCCCATGTGGTGTAACACTTTTATGATAACACATTTATACAAAATGCTGGAATGGGGAATACAGCAACCTGGATATTTGTACACAGCTGTGTGGCTTAATTATAGTCCTATAACTCTGTATCACTGTATCATCCTGTAAGATTGTATCGTCACTGTAACTCTGAGAGAGAATTATACTATCTTCTCTTTGCTCTAACTGAATTATCACTAACATAATGAACTTACATCTAGTGTAATCATGATCCAGATCTGGTATCCAGTATGACCTGGTTACATGAAGTCTTGCTTTAATTAGAACAGATCACTCTGAATGCAAGTTCTAAATGCATAGTGCTACAATAACTGACAGGCTTCATGTTAAAGAGCTTCTGTTTGAAGACCCCTGGAGATCTTTCTCAGTTATACCAGAGCCATCAAACTGAACCATTTCCACTACTGGATATTCTCACACATGCAGAGCAATGGATGGCTTATGAATAAATGCAAGAACAATGTGCACACATACAAATTTAGCCAAGGAAAACGGAGACCAAAGTAGGAAGACCAAAATATATGTATGACCTGTAATTGAGACCCTGCATTCTCTTGCCATACAATTTAATAAAGGAAACTATCCAAGTAATTTTATTTATCAAAACACACTGAGAAACAAGAGAAAAGGTTGAGAAAATGCTCTGCTATGGATCTGCAAAAATTGGCTTGGCTGAGGGTAATAAAGACAATTTTAACTAACTCACATTTTCCTATAACATAGTATATGAAGGGTAGATATTATTACTGCAGCACTGTAGAGTAGGTGTGAGGCTTCTTTACAGCCTCATATAAACTGTGTCATATTTTCTCTGTTTTTTATTACTGCAGTTTAAATGCTGCCTTTATTGGGTGCAATGAGGAATACATGTGTCTATGCCTGTTGAATTTGTGTATGAAATAAAACAGTCAAATCCTTTTTTTCTTGTAAGTCACAGTGAACTGAATACTTGGGAAAGACGCTGGTCAGATCACACTTTACCTCTAGTTTGAAATAGTATTATAAGGAATAGTAGTATTAACTGAGAGTATTTACAGTGATAAGAGATTAGAGGCAAATACCAGAAATGCTTCATGAGTTAGCACACAATTCTAGGGTTCAGCAACTTTAGTCTGACCCATGAAACAAAAGAATGTGAAGAACATGACAGACACACAATGACATCTGTCTACAACCATTTGATATTGACTTTAAACATTTTTTGTTTATCATCTTAGGTAATATGATCTCATTAGATGCTTTAGTATCTTTTAAGACCTTTCCCTCTTGCTCTTAGACTATTAGGTGTGAATATGTGTGTATGGCACTTTGTTACTTCTGCAGATATTTGATGAACTGTAGTGTCATAAAATAAATGGACGAAGTTGGGCAGTAGATGTTCTAGTAATCCAGCAGTCTCCAGACAGCCACTACTTTCTAGTGTCAGCACACAGTTCTGTCTTCGAGCCACTGACTGGTCATATAGGGCATGGAAGAAAGGTCATAAAAACATTTACACGTGCTATTTCCCTATGGAAATGGACTCTGGTAATTTTTTGTTCTAATAACATAAATATTATAAAAATAATACCTTTTCATATCTATGTCTTACTTTGGATTATTGCAGTGTCTTTCTTGGTATGTGACCCCACCTCCACAAGTGCGAGTACACTCTGACCACTTGGACCAGGCAGACCACTGGCCATTCACAGGCTTGGGGCCATGATCACCATATTTGACACACTGTCCTCTTCGACACCACTGCCAAAAGAATGTGAAAAAATTCCCATCAGAGTTAGCAGTACCTAGTAGATGCAAAAAAAAAATAAATTCCACGTTTACAAGCTTCAGTGTGTGACCCTAAAAACATGTCACCCACTGAACTCAATAGGTCATGGCAGGACAAGAACTCTGAAGCAGAACACTGATCCCTATAATGATATAGATAAGTCATGTCCTCAAATTTGCCCAAGTTCTGATTTGAAGACCTCTGAGGTGCAAATTTTCAAAACTATTCACTTGGAGTGTGTTTTCTTGACTTAACATTTCCAAAAACTCCATGTTACTTTATGGTCCTGTGCTGTAGAGCCTCAACATTTCCCATGCAATTTACAAACAGTGTGGTAGAATTATGCTAAAATTTCTCATTTTATGATTCAGTTAGGAAATACTGCACAAAGCAGAAGAACATTTGTCAGTAAATCAAAACAGTATTCTACTGGAAGAAACATTCCAGCAAAAGAAAACACTATGGGTAACTACAGATGAGAGTAAATTAAAAGGTTTGACTCAAACAAATAAGCTCTTTTAGTGGGGATCACTGATTACAATACACATGATGGCCTTAGTGGGCATAGCAAATATTACAGCTTAAAGAATGCTCATATCAGAGTGGAATTTGAAGCACTGATGCAATTAATTAAAATTAAAAAATTAATTCCTGATTTAGATTTGCCAGAGATACGCCGCAACTTGATGGGAGAGGCCTCACACACTGCCATCAAACAGGTACCACTGTGAGGACCCATTCTGACTATGCATAACAATGGAACATTTTACTGAGCAATCTGCAAGTCCACGATGGCAAATCTGGGGGCATCTGGATGAAACTGTTCCTGAGAGCTTGAGTTTGACTCAATACAGTCTAAAAACAAGTTAGAATGACACTGTCTTGTTTATAAAACAACTTACCATACTTATACCACAAGCAGTTCCTTCTGCTGCAGGCATGAACTTTGTCTCACACCTGTGACCCACTTTGTGACACCAGAGAGATTTGCATATATCCTGAAAAGGAAAAAGTACTCACTATAGTACTCATAATTGCCATTATTTCCTGGTGCTTAGAAAGAGTAACAAATGATACATGCCTCCGCTACCGTAAAAGACATATAAATAAACTCTTTTCTGAATTTCAAAAGGACTGTGTTTAAGGTTCATAGCATAGCCATGTCCTGCATATTGCTTTATTGTTTATGCACCATTTCACTCTGTAATTTTTAAAACTATTTTGAGTGTGAGACTATAATGGAACAAAAACAGTGCTAAAACTTCATCAAGTCTGCAGGGACATAATACTGTGAAGAGACAAGATTCTCTAAACCACAGAAGATATCTGGAAAGACAGTCTGTGCACAGTGCTATTCGCTCTCTCTTCTTTGTCTATTAGCTGTAGAAGAAACACAGCTGCCATCACCTGATAAATGTGGTTAGCATAAAATAAATCAAAATACTCCAGGATAATAACAGGAGGAAAAGAAATCATAATACTTCTTTTCAGAATGAGCACTCCAGTTTATTTAATAAAATGCCTTCTCTGAAGAGATCAGTAAGGAGTGCAGCAGTCAGTAAAACCATGAGTGAATTAATCCTTCATCATGAAGTGAAGAGTATAAGTTACATTTCATTGTTCTCAAATAACCCTATAGATCTCTTCCAGACTTTTTGCTCTCAATGCATAAAAGTAAACCACAAGAAACTTATTCCTTCTCACCCCACATCCCAATGCAAGCTTTGATCTAAACTCTACTGCCTGCTAATTTTGCTTAGCATAGCAGGCAAGAGCTCATGGCTCATACGAATTCAATGCACTCCTTATGACTCCTGGAAAGAACGTATTTCCTCCTGAAACTCCCCTGAGACTGTGATATTCCTCGAAAGAGGCCAGTACCTTCAAAGCAAATTGCCAAGCAAGATAAAGCAGAGAAATAGCCCAGGCCTCTGAAGAAAACTCTATAACTTGTACTTATTCAGTGTACCGCAGTTCTCTAATGTCATTGTAACTTCTCAAAAGTATATCAATAGGTACCTTTACAAAGCTGAGGTTGCATAGTTTTGCTTTCATTCCAAATTGCCATTTGCACTGGGTATCAGCATCATAGATCTGCCCTGGCAGTTTGTCAGGGTATTTATACTGTCCTGTTTGCTTAGGTTCATCAATCAGGCAGGCAGCTTGAGCTGTACTATAATGAGAATGTAAATTAATCATGACTATGATCTTTATATCAAAATAGTTTAATTTGCCACAGACCAGCACAAACACATAATATGGTATACAGTACCTTTAACTATTTTTAGAGGTATGAGTATCTGCTTGCAGGAGCCAAAACTCTTGACATCTTGTTGGTAGCCTGACCTGCAAAGTTTTAAGGAAGCAGGAATATCTAGGCTTTGGGACTGTTGTGACAAGAAAGAATGATGTCAAATTCTTTTCCTCCCTGTATTCCTGGGTAATCAAGAGCAAGGTGACCCAGTCTGCCTCCTTCCCTTAAATGGGTTCCTCAGATCAGGAACCAACAGAATTAGCAGGCACACAGTCCCATTCCAGCATCCACTTTGTGTGATTGTCTGACAGGAGACTGCTGCAGTGAGTGTGCTTTGGGCTGGCTGTGTCCAGACCAAAGTACCCTACTCTACTTTTTTCCCCCTGGTCTGTGTTTGAGAACTTGTGCATACAGAAGACCAATCTATGACAGACTTATCTTCCAAGTGTCAGTCTCTTGGACTGTACTGCATGTCATAGGGCTTATGTGACATTTTAGTTTGCAATTTGCTTCTGTACTCAGAAGCTGTTGCATTACTGCAACATCCCCACAAGTCTGTTACCTTTCCTGGCTGCTACTCAAAGATACTGGCTGGAAATTCATGGATCACATCACAGAACCACGTAGGTGCCTGATTCTGACTTCAAGGAATTCACATCTGAAATGCTAGTGTTGCTCTCAGCCACAGCACTGCCTACACACATTTTAGCACTCATGTATAGTCTACCCACTTAGGACAAACAAAATAAGCAAAAGCTTAATGTAATGCTGAATTAAACACCAACTGAAAAACAGTTCCTTTAAAAGCATCACTGAGTAATGCCAACATGCTGGAGAAATTATTGGCATCTTTATCTTTTCCCCTTTTTCTTTCCCCCAGAGATAGGATGTGAAAAATCTACAATGCCCTTTACTCATGACAGGAGCTAGATCAAGAGAGAAACTCCAGTGAGAAAGGCCACTAATGTTCATTTACATTTTGTAATGACTTTGGTACCACTGTGTCTGCCCTCTTTTGTTTACACTTCCTACTGATTCTCTAATAAACCTAGCTGCTGACAGAAACGCCTGGGAAAGAATGATATGCCAGTCACTACTGCAGGGTATCCCTGGAGGGTGAAATTCATGCTGTTGAAACAAGACAGGACAAAAGCACTTGCATGCCTGACCACCTATAAGCTTCAGCAGCCCAAGTGTGGGGGCTCACACACTACATGGGTTTGAGCACATTTTAAGAGGTGGATCTCACACTTTAGTAATGTTCATGCTGCTCAAGAATTCAAGCCAAGTTACTAAAGATGCATTTCCTAGCACCAGCTCAGATTTACACCTGACCTACCTGAGAAATTTGTTGAGATACTGCCTGCTGCATACAGACCAGGAAAACACTCCATTGTTTCCCGTGAGTGTGGGAGACATAATATTTCCCTCAGCTTTTCTGCAAGCATTTCCTTCTCCATCATGAATCATACCAAAGCTGAAAAGAGAGCCAGGTAGGAGAGTGAAAATCTAGATTAAACAGAAGCAAGATAAAATTTTGGGCAAAAGACTCACTTTCTGGCTAAGAGTTCTATGCTTTAATTCCACAGGGAATATGGAATTCACCCCTTTCATTCCAAAGAGACGAAAACATATACACCATGCAAATGATTAATAGTGTGAAACAAGCTCCAATTAATACCAAATTTTATTTTCATCACACACTTGTTTGATGAGAAAAAAGGCAGTCAAGTTCAAAGGAAGACCCACACTGGCACTCCACAGGACCTCTGTAATGGGCGTGAGTAACAAGAGACTGCACAGAGGTACCAGAGCTGCAGACTGTGTCCAAAGTTTCACAGTTCCCCCATTTCTCTTTCTTGAAGGAGAACTGTTTCATGGTGAGCTGGATGGAAGTCGCAGATCTTATGTTCAGACACACTTGTACTTGCCTACATGCATGCAGTGTGAGCCTGTCTTTATGCAGTGATAATGCCTGTTAACATGAATGGCATGAAGATCAGAATCCAGGGAAATACCTGTGTTACACAGCCTAATAGGAGGGAATAATTACAGAGTTGCATTCAATCTGTAGCAAAAGAAATGGCTATGAATTAATACAATATATGAATATAAAAATATTCTTTTTCCAATTTTGGGCATTAACTTGCTATGTTATCTCAGGCAAATCACTTTGTCTTCCTCACCTTTGTTACACAATGTCACTTACTTTTTCTAGACTGTAACTCTTTAGTGGCAATACTCCCTCTTATTGGGAATATTGTCTCTTACGGAGTGCTTTGCTCAGTCTGAGCCTCACAAGGCCCTGCTTTCACTAGGAGAGGTGTTAGGATGATATAAAGAACAATAAGCAATAAAAAAAATCATATCATGATGACAAAGTATGGGGATACAATAAAGTTAATTTTCAGGGTTTTTTCCTTTAACTGTTCTGTATTTACTCACTGTAAAGGACATCTGTGAATTTCAATGTGTTTTGGACAGAAATTTCATCATCTGTTACTTCAATATTGTAGTACATTGGCAATTTTATAAATGTAATCTGTGCACGTGCAGGGAATATCTGATTTACTGGACTCAGTCCTCTACTGCTATATATCATTACTGGCTCTTCAGAGTTATTGCATGTGTTGCCACCAGCTGAGGATCCAAACTTCCTAAAATATATGGCTCTTTCTATAAATGGATCCAAAAAGTACCAACTGAGCTTGTGTTTTAGAACCCTTCATAAAATGCTGTGTTCCCATGCACTGCAGCCAGAGAAGCCCCAGTTTATATTCCACTGACACAATGGGCTCTGAACATCCAGAGGAACTGTTAAGCTCTCTAAATCTCTAAAGAAAAGCATTAAGAAATCAAACAAACCACTAAAATGTTGAACCACCAAAGCTTGTCAGTGGATCACATCATGTGATCTACACAGTATACAATATTCTCTTCCTATGAAATCCTTAGGTTAATATATTCACAGTGGACCTCAGCAACCCTAAAGCTGTCACAGGTTCTTTTCTTCCAGAAATCTCTGTATCACAGAGACCAAATTCTGTTGTCTTACATCACATACTAGGTAGCCTCAGGAGCATGAACGCAAACAAATGATCATAAAGTCATTTTGTATCTGGTGCAGACTTTTCCCAGGACGTAAGATGCATTTTATTTAACAAAGTATGGAAGTATACCAAAGAAAAGCTGAATAACATGTGAATCAAAGGCAGCAGTGAGAAAAGAAAAATTAAAACATTTCCAAGCATAACTTCTCGAAACAAATGAGAAAATAAAAAGGCAGGTTAACATTAAGAGACTAAATGGGATAATTATTGAAAAAACAGCTATGGGCCTGATTCTCTCCTAATACTGATCAAAGGGTATTAAAAATGTACTGAGGTCAGTGAAATTGCATTAGTGTAACAGAAGGCTCAATGACATATATTTTAGATATTTGGTCCCTTTGAATCCGTTGGCACAATTCCCACAGGCCTCACTGGTAGCTGGATTATTCTTTTAATTCCTTGCTTCCCTTCACATGTACAGAAACCTGTGAAAGGGTCACTCATGTAGACATTAGGTCATAGTATCTGCTGTAGAGCATATTTGTACAATGAAAACTAAATAGTCCTGATTCAGTCATGCAGAATCGGAAGGCTTCATGCCTTGACCAATCAGCAGAATACAGTACCGCTGCTTTTCAAAGGTATTCTGTGAATTAATATTGCTGCACAAAATAAAGATCCTATGCCCATGCTTTCTTTCTCTGACCCTTAATTTCACGTTGTAGCACAGAAAGAAACTATGGCTCTCTACAGCCAGTGGTGAGACAGACTCCAGCTTGAACCATGCTAAAACTGAAAATCAAAACCATGCACAAAGCTGTGAAAAAGTAATTCAAAATTATTTGGGAAAAAATAGCAGAACAAAACCTAATCATCTTCTTGAAGACTGTAGATTATTGTCAGCTTTTACTGCTCGTTCTGGTTATCACTGGTGACCAGTCAAGAGCTGGATGTAATTCCGTTCACCACCACTCTCAGGGCTTGCAAATGATCTACATTTAGAATCAGCCAATCCCAGTTATCTATATTGAACTGATTTATATTAACTGTGTGATGTTGCTTAGAGAAGGAGTAGCTAAAATTCATGAAACTTACTTGTGTCCAGACTCATGAGCAATTGTAAAAGCCAGTCCAAGGCCTGTATCTTCATTGATGGTGCAGCTGCGGTATTTGCTGCACATGCCACTGATAGGTGCAAATCCTGAAGGAAAGAAGCAGTAGAATAGCTTGTTCCTCTACAGCATTCCGAGCACATATATCATCTGCACTGGTCCTTAAAAGCCTTTTTATTGTGGCACATGAAGACACTTGTCTATTTCATCAGGTTTACCATGGAGGAATTACAGCAGACCTTTATTTGATAATAAAGGTCCTCCTGTATAAGAAGCATAAATCAAACCTAACCTCCCGAACTCCACTTTACTTGTAACGATTATTCTCACCATCCCCCTACGCCTTTACTGCTCTCAAATTCCGGAGGAATCCCATTCAAAAAGGGGTAGTAGTCACAAATAGGAAAAGAAAATAGCATGGCTCTGAAATATTCTCAAAATCAAAAACGTTGCTTGAAGAGGTGACAATATGAAAGACTGTCTTCAGAGAGCATATTTTCCTGCTTTGTCTGGAGCAATGACATCAGCAATACTCTTTTTCTTCTAGGTACCCCAAAGACAAATAAGCAAAAATAATACTGTTCTGTCCTCTTCAAGAAGACTAACAGCATGTGCAAAAGTGGACTTTTTTCATTTCAAACCATTTCAGTTTCTGCTGTGGACACCCATAAGTTTATCTGCATGTGTTTTGATATCATACCTAAAGTATCACAGGGCTCATTTTTCCAAGAGCAGATATCAAAACCTGTAAGCAGGATGGCATGGTCATGGCGCTTCCCATTCTTCCCAACCAGGGCAGACTGCCATTGGCAAAAGCTGTTCAGGGACTGGTCTGCATGGTGGTTGATCAGTAACCCATCCTGTTGGGATTGCACAGACACAGGAACAAGGTGCTTCCATCAGTAACTGAGAAAGATGCTTGAAAGAATGAGTTGATTAGGGAAAACAGAATTACTTTTTCACATTTGCTCTATCTAAGCTTATATATTCCCATGTTAACTCTCTGTGATAACTGATTCAGTTCATGAGTGAATCTCCTACAATTGTAAAACAAAACTGCACCTCTCCCCAGACACATAAACATGGTGGTTGGAATTACAGTGTACAAAAATATTTGACTCCTGAGAAAGCTGAACACTAAGCCATATTCAATCTTGCAATTAAAATGTTTGGTCATTTCTGGGGAGGAAAAGTATTACCCAATAGATCAACCCATCACCAACGCCTTTTCAGCAAAATCTGGTTTTGTCTTCTTTTTCTCAGCACCCTTGAGAAACAAAGGCTCCACTCCCACCATTTTTTTACATGCTATCTTCAGTTTGGGACTTTTGACTCCTTCCCACTTCTGGCTATCACATGTGGAAAGCCCAGTCAAAATCTCATTATTTATTTAAATACTTATTAAGTAGATTTCTTATTCCAGACATTTGTCTTCAAGAAAATGCTGGAAATCGTTACGTTTTATCTTACTGGAAATATTTCAATGTTTCTAAAGAACATTTATATGAAATGAAGAATTTAGTATCCAGACCTGAGAAGCAGTGAAATTCTGAAGCAGTGTAATTTTGGAGATTTTTGTGATTTTAATCTTCTTCTCATTCTTTATACCCTAAGAAACCTACAATGAAAGTTTCTGTACACAAAGTTTCTGTACACAGCGTTAGAGCACCCAACGCTGAACAGTAGCAAATGAAGTAGCTCAGACAAAATGACACAACTTACAGGTTCTTGTTCCAAAAGAAGCAGGCTTACAACAATAACATTTATATCACTTCCAATTGTTCCATCTTTAAACAGACTAGAGACCTGCAATGATTATTGAGAGGAAATATCACCTATATGTATAGTATTTTCTTAATAGATTAAACATATGTATTAAATTATTGCTTTGGACTTTTATTTTCACTACAGATTAATGGAGTTATATACATAGTAGGATTAATCCTAAAGAGCTTCAGTCCCAAAGCACTACACTTATTCAAAAACTTGAAAACCTTCTATTGACTTCAATGGGCTTTATTCTGTCCTCCGTCTCCTGGAACAAGTGTAATCAAGGTCAAAGTTCAAGCTCAAGTTTTGTAGTACAAAACTAAAGAGCAAAGCCACACAGGAGAAGACACTTCTAGTTCAATTATATCACTTTTGTGAAAATAAGTTTGTGCTTTCTCAAATAAATGTTTGTTTCAAGGAGACACATCAGACAAAACAGACTAAGCTTCATGATACTAAATTAAGTAAAAATTTAAATTTCAGAGAATCTGGGGGTTTTTGTTTTAAATACTTCCCAATATTTCACAATTTTTTTTCATCCTACAGTACTGTTGCCCTAAGGATGCATATTTAAAGGCTTTTTGACATAAGTAATATGTGAGTTGAGGCTTGAAGACAAACTTGTACAAGGCGCCTCTGCTCTTTTTGGTGTCACTATTTGTCTAATGAAAGATCCTACTTTGATATAACACGTTCCACAGAGAAAACACACTTCAGTTGCACCATATCTTACCATGTTCATGACAGTCAAGATGTATGTTGTTACATTTTCCTTGCCATGTTTCTCCAACATTTTTTTATCTGCCACAACAAGGGTTTCAACATTTAGACTTCCATTTTTCTGAATTTTAGCAGATGATCTTTTGAACCTCATGGATGTCCCATACTCATCTGAACGAATATATGTCTCTTCTGTGGGTGGCTTAGGTGCATCTAAAAGGAAATAAAACTGTTTTGGAAAGGGTTCAGATCGACCATGAACAGTTTCATTCAAAAATGAAGTATCACAGATTTAGAGCCTTAGATTATTTTTACATCTAACTTAATACTTCTGGCTAAATTCTTCTACATTTATTAAAAAAGATCTGATTCAATCCTGAGGGAAGGATGGCTACAGGGAGACAAGGAAATGGGAGAACCACATTCATATGCAATAAGCAGTTTAAAATAAGAAATTAATCTAATAAAATGGTAGCATCTGTGCAAAAAAGTACAATAGCATTTTTAACAGAATATCTACATTTTTCCTGTGCCTTTGATAACTTCCTGAGGTGTTTGGCATGTGCTACTTACACAGCGGTTGGCAAAAAAGTCCTTTCCACAACAGATGTCCACGGTCAGTACAAAAAGCAGATACACACCAGAAGTAAGATTCCTGCCAGCCTGCTACTGTGACTGACATTAGCCTTCTATGTGAATCTGCCACTGAGGTTATTCCT